AAGGTTTCTGTTCTCTGGTCCACCGAAATTCCTGGGTGGGGGGGGGGGGAACGGACGGCAGCCTGAGGAGAAGCCGGGAAGTGGAGCCTGCTGCAGGCACCACCCAGCGTTGCCAGGTCTTAACTATGAAATAATCGCGTGGGAAGCTCAACGGTGCCATGCACTGAACAAATATGCAACTAACAACAAGTCTTATTTACTTTATCTTGGTCCCTGCAAGCAGCAGCAGCGAGAACCGGGTCACCAAAGCTGCAGCGTTTCTTTGCTGGAGGCCGGCAGCCCCACGTCAGGTCAGGCTCAGGGGAGAGGAACCGGGGCTTGCAGGTGCAGCGGCCGCTCGCGCTAGGCCCCGCCTCCGTCCAGCGCTTCCGCTATGGAGCGCACCTGGGGCGAGGGGCGGAGTCACCCGACGACCGTCGAGCTCCCGTCCGCCCTGCCCCCTCGGCGCGGCGTGTTGGCGTCATGAAGGCGCGGCGGAAGGTGACACGCGGGTCCTCAAGATGGCGGCGTCCTGGGCTTGCCGGGTAAGCGAGGAGGTGCGCGCGGGCCCAGCTCCCGCTCTGTCCGCCGGCGCTGGGGGGCAGCGCGGCGCTGCCGGGGCTGGGGCTGAGCCGCTCGGGGCAGCCCGGCCAAGGGAGCGGGTCCCGGGGTGGCGGCGCAGGGGGAGCTCGTCGCTGGCGCGTGGCGCTACTTCCCCGGCCCGGGGGGCTGGAGCCTGAGGCCGGTGGTGGCAGCCCGGGGCCCAAAGCAGCCCTCTGGGCCCCGGCTTCTCGCGCTGGCCCGGGGCGGCGTCTGGGGGTTTGCGGCCCGGCGGCTCCGCGGGGCCGGGGGTTTCTCGGGCCGGGAGCGGAGCCCGCTTTGCTGTCCCGTGTCCCGCCTCTGGGGGTGATGAGGCCCCTCTCCCATCGGCGGCCCCTGGAGTCAACAGAAGCTGCTGCTGTGGCCCGACCTGCTCATGCCCAGGTGTCTAGGGCTTTCCCTGCATGTTTTCTTCCCAGCCCTCTGCCATCTTCCTCGCCCCCTTCCAGCCTTCTCTCCTTTCTCCACCACCTTAATAAGCCGCAGGGTCCCGGGACCCCATGGCCTGCTGCCACTGAGGCCTAGCCAGTGCTGTGACTCCTCCTGGGTGTTGCAGAGCAGTTACTTATTTGGTTTATATTTTGTGCTTCCCCCAAAATGCGGTAGGGGGAAGCGCAACATATAAACCACGCTACTCATTTTGCTGTAGGACAGAGTAACGTGGACGAGCAAGTGGAATATTCAAATAAAACGTGAACAAAGAACTCTCTAAACAATATTCCAACTTATCACTGTTTGCTAAATGCTTGCCCGAATAAAAAGGCCATATGATACTTCTGGAAGATTGTCAGGCTTGGCCTCTGGGGGGTGAACCTGGACTTCCCTGTTCCTTGCAGCCCACCCCCAGAGGACAGAGGAGGCGGGTTGCTGCATTCAGCAGCTTCTGGATAGTCTTCAGGGGCAGCACAAAGTAGAGCACATTGCAGTTTTCTAGCCTCAAGGTGATAAAGAAATGGATGATGGTTGCCAGATCTGAATCTGAAAAAAAGGGATGCAGCCTTCAGAGAGACATAGACAGATTGGAGGATTGGACCAAAAGAAATCTCATGAGGTTCAATAAGGACAAATGCAAAGTCCAGCACTAGAATGAAATAATCCCATGCACCAGTAGAGGCTGGGGACCGACTGGCTAAGCTGCAGCTCTGCAGAAAAGGATGTGGGGGTTACAGTGGACAACAAGCTGAATATGAGCCAGCAGTGCATCCTTGTTGCCGAGAAGGCTCGTGGCATCCTGGGCTGTGTTGCCAGTAGGTCAAGGGATGTGATTATTCCCCTCTATTCTGCACTGGTGAGGCCACATCTGGAGTACTGTGTCCAGTTTTGGGCCCCCACTATAGAAAAGATTTGGACAAATTGGAGAGTCCAGTGGAGGGCAACAAAAATGGTTCAGGGGCTGGGGGACATGACTGATGAGGAGAGGCTGAGGGAACTGGGCTTATTTAGTCTGGAGAAGGGAAGCCTGAGGAGGGGGATTAATAGCAGCCTTCAACTATCTGAAGGGGGGTTCGAAAGAGGATGGAGCTGAGCTGTTCTCGGTGGTGGTAAATGACAGAACAAGGAGCAATGGGCTCAGATTTCCATGAGGGAAAGATTAGGTTAGATATTAGGAAAAATCTTTCTTACTAAGAGGATAGGAAAACACTGGAACAGGATATCCAGAGAGGTGGGATGATCTAGTTGGGGATGGTCCTACTTTGAGCAGGGCTAGATGTAACCTTCCGAGGTCCCTTACAACCCTCACTTTCTGTGATTCTCACTGAGTGGAGTTGGTGAAAGGCAGTTCAGTTCACCACTGCACCTAGATCCAGGTGCAGCAGAGAATGCAGGATTGCCCGAAGGCTGCAAACCTGAGTGCCAAAAGGAGGCTGAACCATCAGTGATAGGTGTCCCAGGCCCCCTCCTGCCTCCCACCCAAGTGCTATGTCTACTACCATCACCTCTGTCTTGCTTGAATTCAGCTTCAATTAGTTCAGCCTGCATCCAGTCCCCAAATGCACCTAGGTACTGGGAAAGGACAGAGACTGCAGGGGCTGGGAGAGGAATATAGAGCTGCATTTCATCTCCATATTAATGATGTGATTCTAGATTTTGCCCAGTGATTGAACAGGATGCACAAAGATCAGGAGGGATGATAAAGATGAAGCCCCAGAAGACCCCACAGAAAAGGTCCTGAGGGAGTGGCAAACACTTGCCCATCATCACCTCAGGAAAAGGTGGAACCAAATAAGAGCAGTCCTGTGAACAACCTCCTGCTCATGTAAATGTTTTATCAGCGCCTCATGTTCAGCTATATCAAGGCCACCGAAAGATCTAGTAAGATCAGTAGAGTACAGTTCCCTCCATTCATCCCCAAGTGAAGATTATTGACCAAGGCCATGAGTACAGTCTCCATGTATATCTGGGATGAAAGCCAGACTGACAGGGATCCAGATATGTGATCATATGGGATCCTGGTTTTCTATGATACAAAAATAAATCATAATTTCTCTGATAACCCCAAAATCTGAAATTAAAATGAAATGTCACTATATATATATATATATATATATATATGTGTGTGTGTATGTATGTATGTGTATATATATAGAGGTATCAGTTGAACACAATGTTTTATTGATATGTTTGCAATTTTAAAGCAATTTGGAAACCTACCAGTGCCTCAGTCACTATAATAAAATTAATTCTAAATACCTATACATTTTTTATATTTGATTTTGAGTTTTGTATCATGGAAAATCAGAGCTCCCCCTGCCCCCTTAGGTCACAGAACATAGGTCCAGGCTGCTCGCCCTCAAGCCCAGCCTCCCTGCCATCCTGGTGCCCCTCAGTCCCCCACCACAGTACCCCCTGGCCCTGCTGGTTTGTGCCCCTTGCTTTACCATCCACAGCCCCTACCTCTCTTCCCCACCCCTCCCAGCCTGCTGGAGGGAGGCCCAGCTGCCAGGGCTATGGGGCCAGGGACCTGGGTTTACAGCCCCCTGCCCTCTGCAGTGGCCTCTGAGCCCCGGCTACCACCTGCAGGAGGCAGCAGCTGCTGCAGTGTAATGGAGCGCAAAGCCCAGCTCACCCTTCCCCGTGGACGGTATGGCTGAAGTGGTGCCTGTGTGGTGTGGGGAAAGGTGCAGGCTCAGTGGGGCCACTCCCTGCTGCTGTGCGTACTCCTGCAGGTGGCAGGGGGGACCCATGTCCCCCACATCCGTGTGTGGGGCAGGTGCAGGCTGTCCACTGCAGGCTCGGGCTCCTTGCCCTGCCACCCTCCCCTGGAGCCTTTGCAGCCCAGCAGGCATCAGGGCCGGGTGGGGAAGCTCCTTGCTTCTTCCTGGGTAGGGAAGCTCCAAGCAGTGTGGGGTTGTGCCTCTGACTGTTGCCAGGCAGGCAGGGAGCACCTCATCAGGGAGGTGCAGGGCTTGCAGTGATAAGGAGCTTCCACACCCAACCCCTCTCTGCCCTGCCATGCCAGGTGTATTGCCTGCTGGGCCGTGGAAGCCCTGGGGGAGGGCAGCAGGGTGGGGAGCTTGAGGGAAAATGGAAAACCTGGATCCCTGCTGTTCATACCCAGATGTGTCTGAAGCTGTTGGACAACCACCTGTTCAATAACCTTTCCAAAAATGGGAGGCTGGAAATGAACTGATTGCTGACAGGGGAGTTAGCATCAAGGGATGTTTTTCTGAGTAGGGGGTGGACAATCACAGACTTAAGGACTTCCAATAATGCAGCCCAAAATTACATTTGCTTTTTTGAAACTGTATCATGTGACTGAGTTAGTGATTAAACAACTTGTCCAAAGTCAAAGAAAGTGTCTGTAGTGTACATGAGATTTAGTCTCAGCTGTTTTGAATCCCAGTCAGGTGACTTGATTTCAGTGCCTACCTTGTAGATGGAAGAGGCAGTATCAAAGCCAGGCAGTGATGAGACGAATCTTTCATGGCTGCTGAACCACCCATAATGAAGAAAATAAACTAGTCTGCTGAAGTTGGCCAGTAGCCTTGTTGTGAATATTTCCTGTTCTAGTGTTCCAGGGTTAGTTTGTAAAAGTTGGAGCCACATTATGTAACAAATAAGAAGTCATAGGTTAAATATTTGGTTATGAGTTTAAATGTAAAGGAAAGTAACAGGGAGCATCATTGAGTTTTGAAGCTCAAGGGCTTAGTTCTTAACGTCTAGTGCTAGCCAGATGTTTAAAAGTAAGGAGCCAATTTTGAAATGTTAGTAGGAAGTGGGAGCCCTGGAATAAGATAAGTTGAAGCCACTGGTCTGTAAGGAGAATTTCTGGACTCTTGAGGACCCCTGTACTGAAAGGGAGAGGTTCTGAAATCTGAAGATATTTGAAGATGGGTAGTAGCCACTCTCAAGAACTTTTAATTTGCTTACAGATGGCATCTTACACGAAAGCTGTATGTTATTTTATTATTGCTTTATGTTTTCTCCGTGTGTGGCAGGACTTAGATGGAAAAATAAAGGTCAGAACCTGTTATAATCCTATGGGCCAGCCTTATATCCCTATCCAAGTCTGTGCCTGCAGGCTGTTCATCTGTCTTTGATATTCTTAGCTAAAATCTAATAAATATAATTGACCTCAATTTTCTTTGTATCTCAAACTGGGCTGCTGTAGAGCTAACACAATAGTTCACGGAAAAATAACTCTAAATTGTTAGCCTGGTCTTTTGGTGACCTTTGATAGAAATGTGAGGCCTTTCCTGTACTTAGCCAGCAAATGAGTCAGTGAACAAATGTCAAGTTTCTGGCATAAAAGGGCACTTGAGAATTTGAAATCCCATAAAGAGGATGATGATCTTTTACTGACCCCAAATGGAAAGATCAGGTTAGGCTTTTCACACTCTGTACTAAGTGGCAATAGAATAAGGAAAACACAGTTTCAGCCCAAACCAGTGGCACTCTAGTCCTGTTGTCCTTATTTCATAGACATTCAGTACCAGCTGCTGCA